GCTACGCGCGGAAGAGGGCCCCGCGGTGCACAGGCGATCGAGCTCCGACAGGAGGGGTGCTGGCAGGACGTGCAGGTCCGCGATGCACCTCAAATCCCGAGCGCGGGGTGCGCGCCCCAGGCACACACACAAACCTGTGGTGCCTGCGCGCGGCCGCGGCGGGCAGCGGCCGCGCGCGGGGGCGCGCGGGCCTGCCCGCATCGCCTGCGGCGCGCCGCGGCGCGCGCGAGCCAAGTGGCGGCGCGGCGACTGCTCGCGCCTGCGTCCGCCGCGCGCGCCTGGGGCCAGCGAGTGTGTGCGATGGAACCAGGGGCCGAACTCGTTCCATACAAACTGCTCGTCGTATGGCGTTGCATTCGGGTCGGTTCAGCGACCCCGACCATTGCCGTGAGACCAGATCAACGGTGTCTGGCGGGAGTTGGGGCTCCTTGATGGGCGCCCCATGGGGCAGCCGAGCCTGTGGTCGGCATGCCCGAAGCAAGTGCAAACAGCCCCTCGGAAAACAAAAAATCCGCACCTCGACGACGGCCCTCTTAACGTCGCGCTGTAAAAAAGCTTCTTGTGTTTTGACAGCCCCCCTCTTTTTTGAGCGGGTGATATTGCCTTCGCCACTTCGATCACTCTTGCGAAGAGAATACTAGTGACGAACCTGGCGCTGAGTCCAACCCTTGTTCAACCTGCGTCGCACCGCATCTGGGTCTATGTGCGGACCAGCCAATCCAGCATCCGAGCAGTCACCAAAGCGCTGCATTTTGACTTCTGCATATTCTTCGCGAGGTCCTTCCCTTTGACGCGGGTGTGCCCGCGAGCGCCCCCCCATCAGTGGGGCGCCAGGTCTATCGCCCGCCCAAGGGGGGGGGGGCCCTTGGGGCCCCCTTATCTGGAGGATGAGGGCGCTGGAGGCCGCTAGAGCGAGCGCCGCTGGAACGCGCGCGCGCGTTCGGGAGAGCCGCTGCGAACCCGGCCGCGACGCGCCAAACGTGCGTCATCTTCTCATTATTCGTCATAGTCGCGGGCGCAATACTTGCATCTCCAGGCCGGGCGGCTAGGAGCGGCCCGAAGCTACGAATGCATGTTGAAGCCCTTTGTTGCGGCCGAGCTCGCGCTGGGTGCGCCCAAACAGATCGCCTGCATCTCGCGGGCTTACCCGCGAAAGGGTCATCATTGCTCAACTCCACGTTTGCCGGAACGCCCATAACCCATAGAAAAACATCCGTTGCATCCCTCCCCTGTGGCAGGATGTGGCTTCTGAATCCGCGGGTGTCGCCGTCATTTCGTCATCTCCTTCGGCGGGCATGTGGAAGTGTTCGACAAATTCAAGATCGGCTGGTTGTCCCGAGATGGGCATGCCCAGCCTGTCTGCCACGTCGACCTCATTGTGGCCAGCGAATATCACCTCGAACCGCTCGAGGGCAAAAACTCTCGAGGGAAATATCTGGCAGTCATGAAGTTCACAACTGCAACTGAGCTGTCGGCAGGGTCGGCCAAGAGCGGCCCACGGTCAGCACACTGCATGTCCGAGTCAGTTTGAACCAAAGATATCGACGGACCTCTGCCTCTCCCATCGCCCGGAGGGCATTCGCGGTGAAAGTGCTGTGTGTTATGGCAGATGCTGCACTCCGTAATTGCACCGCTGGCATCCTCTGGGTTTCCCCGAGGTCCCTTACCTTGTCCTGATGCGCGCCTGCGGTTCCTGCCTGCACCAAGGAACATCTCTTCATATTGCGGACCATTCAGTGATGCTAGAAAAGCCAACATGCCTCTGCCATGGAGTCGCCGCCGTTGACCATCATCCTTGCCTCGACGTTGCTGCGCCCCCTGAGTGTCCGTCGAGAAGTACGCCGTACCTTGCGAACTGTCTTCTCCATAAATCGCCTCCACGTGCATTATGTCGCCTCGCCGTCCGAAGACGCGTCGGCGTCGGTACCAGAGTCGAAGTGGGGCTCAGCAGGTTGCCCCGCTGAGCCCATTAGGGCAGTGGCTTGCGCAAGGGCCGCCGCATCGGGCGGCCCCCGAAACCGGGCCCAGGCGTCTTGCAACCCCGAGGCCGAACCACCATTCTGAGTCAATAGTGCGGTGGTCTCCGTTGGTTGCGAATCGCCATTCCAAGCGTTATTAGCAGGCTGCCCTGCGTTGGCCTCAGCGTGGAAGGTCTCGGCACGGTGGCCGTGACTGAGGAAATCACCATGTTGCCAGGGGTTATTTCAGCAATGTAAGCATATGACCTCATGCGTTCAAGTAGAGAGTCCAACTGTTGCTGGTCCCTCGGCACGCTGTGGTTTAATGGCTGTAGGAGTTGTTGTGCACGCGACGTCTTCACCCCAAGGGCTCTGGATAAAAAAGCTGCTCGGATTTTCAAAGTTGGGGATGTTGAAGCCTGCCGTTTCAGCTTCATAGCGGGCTATCTCGAAGCGCGCCAATGCCTGGTCGATCCGTTCTCCCGCATGGACTCGGATGTCAATGAGAGAGAGCTGTACCAGTGTTGAGTTGGCGTTCCTCTTGTAGGGTCTCGAACTTCGTACTTAAGAGGAGCATGATGTAGATGGTGCCATCGGTATGGCGGCCACCTATGTTTACGCCGAATTTGATAACTGCTGGGTGAGCTCTCAGGGCTATGCTCCGTGCGAGGCCCCCCCAACCCTCGCTGCAAGGCTGCAACTTGTTGGGATGGCGTTCTGGTGCCTGTGGTCACGTTGGTTCAGGCATGCACCTCGCGAGCGAATTCGCGGAAAAGTGTACGTGACCGGACGGGTCCCAGTGGGGGCCGGTCGTCCTTGCACCGTCTCCGCCACGCATGTGTCCCACCGCAAACCCGATAGCAACCCATGTGAGCCCAAGTATAACTATACCAATCCAATGGCCTTGTGGGTCGTAGTCGGATGTGGTTGGTTGGGGTTTGCGGTGTGTGGTCGTATGCTTGCGTGGGGGTGGATGCGGCACAATGTCGTATCGCATGCTTCCGTGCATTACGTCTTCGAAAAAGTTTCTAATTGGAGTAGATGGGTGGACTTCAGGAGTGTAGTGGCGCAGGGACGTAGGACGCGAGTAAGAGGCCTCTGCGCAGGCAGAGGTATCACTGCAAGTTTCGTTGCTATGTTGCGTAGCATGTATACAATCCTCCGCTCAAACGCACTGCACCCTGATGTTCCACCACGTCAGTAGTCCACCAGATAGCGCCGTGGATGGTGAAGAATAGAGCACGAGCTGACCACCAGAGGCCAGCTCCGCTACCAAGTTTGAAAAAGGGGTTGGGAGGCCCTACCAGCAGCTTCGCCTCAGGCGAAGCTGAGCTCCAGCTCTGTTGTGCCGTAGTAGCGATAGCCCCAGTAGTACGAGGTTGGTATCGATGGCAAGTCGTGCACCTCGCACTGAGGTGAAGTCAGGTCTGGGCGGCCGGCCGCTTTGAGCCAAGCGGCCGCGGGCGCAAACTCGTTCCCATTCACCTGTATCCCCAGCTCACTTTAGAGTCCAGGAGGCCCCCAAGCCGGCACAGGAGGCCTTTAAGACGCCCAAGATGGCCTCCAAGACGGCCGTGGAGCATTCATGAGGGCCCCAAGTCGGCCCATAGACGGCGTCAGACGGACCAGGAGCCCACCAACACGGCCGAACATGGCGCTAAGATGGCCCAAGACGGCCCAAGAGGCCTCCAAGAGGGCCTCCAGGAAGGCCGGAAAATGCCAAAATCATGTACTTCCCGTGGGTGTTTGAAGGATTGTGGCATTTGTGCTTTGTTCTGCCTTTCCGACGGCCCAAGACGGCCCAAGTGCCCCCAAAGATCGCCCAAGAGGCCCAAGACACGGCCCCAAGAGGCCCACAAGACGGCCCAAGAGGTCTCCAAGACGCTCAAGATGGCTTCCAAGACGGCCCAAGAGCCCTCCAAGACGTCCTCCAAGAAGGCCCGAAAGGGTCAAAATGGCCTTCAGACGGCCAAGATGACCTCGTGTTCCCCGAAGGCTTTCCAAACCGATTCGGGGGAACACATGGTCCGATAGCTTGGCAGGTCTGGCCTCAATGTTCGGCCACATAGGCGCTTCCAAAAAGGCAGGGGGCGGCGGTGATTCACCGTAAGCGTCTTCGATAACGCCAACGTTTCAACATGCGCTGATGATATTCCCAGATGCGCCAAGGCAGCGCCGAGACGCACCGACGCGACTCTGATATATCCCATTATGATAGAGATGGGGCCGGGGGCAGGGGGCGAAGCCCTTACGGCTATTGATCAGGGCAAACTGCACAAAGGCGATGAAGAACAAGTACGCAAAGCTCCCAACTCTGCCCACCCCTTGGATCACACCGTAAGCAAGGCTCCAATCATCACCACCTGTGGATGCTCTATAAAGCGTCAGGGCCGATTCTTCGACCGACCCAAAGAAACCAGCGAATATGCTCTCCTCTAAAGCTTCACCCGTGTCCTCCAGGTGATGGGAGATAAGCTGAATAAAGAAGAGCGAGAAGAATAGGTATACTATGGCAAGCATTATCAAGCTCCAGAAAAGGTTCAACAACGAGCCATATAGACAAATCATGAGAGCCCGCAGGTGCCGCAGGCGGCGCATGACCCTGATGGCACGAAACGACTTCGCGACCTTCAACAGACGAAGCGCTCTCCAGAAGCCGCCAGGATCAGCCATCGTGACAAATCCTACAACCACCAAACCAAAATCAAACGTATTGGCGCCAGCTGACTTGTTCCAGAAGAACCATCCACGATGCGCTATAAGCCTCAATGCCACCTCGAGGGTGTAGAATGTCTGAAAGAACACATGTGCGATGCTCACTACCATGCTCCTCTCCCCTGGTTTCTGCACCTCCAGGTTCGTGGCGTATACCTCAAACACAACGTTGACAATGATCACAACGCAAACATACATGTCAAATGCCTTGCTGTCGACGAGGCGGGCGACGAATCCCTGGCGGGGAGGCTCCTCGAGGCCATACAGCCACATCCACAGGCTGCACAACTTGTGCATTGAGGCATGGTTAGTGCATGGTACCGCTTCCTCGTTACTGTCAGAATCAACTGCACTGGCCCGCTCAACATTGGCGGTCTCAATGATATGGGCGAAATGCTCGGACGCAGCGGAATTGTTTCGTTTGATGGCAGCTTGACTGCCAAAGCTGGCGCCCCGAACAAGGCTCGGCGCAAAGCTACCAAAATCTTCCGCCGCCGTCGTGTCCACACCCTCCCCGTGCGTTTGCTCCAGGCTATGTCTAAGAGTCCCGCTCAGCCTGACTACCCACCAGACCACCCCAACCCAACCCGAAGATCTGAATTTCGGGTTGGGGGGGGGTACCGGGTCCAGATGTGTTTCTAGACGTTCCCGACACCCCCCAAACCTGGAAATGGAGGGCACATTGAAGCCTTCGCGTTGGGTTGGGGTGGTTTGGTGGGTGGTGACAGCCTGCGCCGGCACGGCGAGCAGCCGCAGCTGCCCGACGCGGCCTCTGCCTCGCTCCGCAGGGCGCCGCGCAGGGGCCCGCCCTCCGCGAGCAGCTCGCCCAGCTCCGCGCGCACCGCGGCGCGCACCGCGTCGCCCAGCTCCGCGGCGAGCGCGCTCCCCGCCTGCGGGGAGCCGCCCGGCGGCGGCGGCGCCTCGGGCGGCGTCGCCCGCGAGGCGCCGTCTGGCGGCGGGGGCGCCGACTGGGGCCGCGCGTCCTGCAGGCGCGTCTCTCGCTTGCCGGGTCCATTCGCCACGGGCACGGCGGCCTCCGAGGCGGCCTGTCGGATCTCCAGCACGGAACCCTGCAGCTGCTGCATCTGCAGCTGCTGCGTCTGCTGCAGCTCCGCCTGAATCCGCTGCGCCCGCCCGATCTCTACCACGGGGCCCTCGAAGGCCTCCCTGATTGCGGCCATCTGGTCCGCGAGGTGCTCCTGGATCATCGATTTTAACGCCTCGGCCCACCAGGCCCTTTCGAACTGCAGCTCCTCCGCCGCGGCTGACGACAACGATTCCTGGCTGAGCAACTGCTGGGCTCGTCCGGAAGTCTGATGAATCTGATGGTTCATGGCGACGCTGTCCTCGTGCTCCTGCATGGCAGCCCAGGCGTCGGACGTCCTCGGGCTCCTGCGTGGCATGAGAGGCCCACCCCGTTGGCCGCCCCCGGACCGGCGACGGACTGCCCTGCGCGGATCCCGCGACAATCGGTAGACTCGGGCCAAAAAAAAACGGTCTGCTTATGTGGGATCGGACTCATGGGGTCTTGGGTGCTGGATGCCCTAAAAGGGGGGGTCTGGGTGAGGGACCAATACTGGCAAGGTGGTACCAATCCTGGCCGACTGGGGCAAATGTTGGCCGCGCGTGTTTATTCCTAGGGCCAAACTTGTAAGCCATCATAACTACATGAGTATGCTTGAGGTAAAGACATCACTCGCTTTTTCCTTCTTCCATGGCCGGGATTGGTCCCTGTTTTTCCCAACCGTCCTGTGGTTTTGGTTCCACGCTTTGAACCAGCAGCGCCCCGCGTTCCTCCTCCTCCTCCTCCTCCTTTTCCTCCTCCCGCTGCGTCTCCCCTTATCATCTCCCATCCGTGCCTCTGCCCTGCGCATCCTCCTCCCCATTCCTCCCTCCTGCCATGCGTGCCCATGCCCTCAGCTAGGAGCCAGGATAAAACAAATAACAACAACAAAACAACAGGGAAATTTCACACAAAAGGTTTTGGCACCACCAACGGTGCAATGCATGTGCACACATGCCACTGGATCCCCAGCGATCCGAACCAGGATTGACGCACGGCCGTGCTCTACGGTGGGCGGACAAAAAGTGTCCACACTTGTCGCGCCAAGACAACTCGTCGTCAAATCACGTCGAGCGAATATGTATACCCCCCTTTCCCCCAACTCAAAGTTGGCGGGGTTGGGCGGCAGGCCGCGCGCCAGGGACAAAATGTGGACACTTCAACTTTGGGTTTCGGGGGGGAGGGGTGCTAGGCAAGTGCATCATGTTGTTGCGGTTGTTATCACGTCGCAGTGTCGTGCCGCCCTGGGTGTGGACACTTTTTGTCCGGGCGCCGTCCGGGTTAGATGTGTTTGGTAGTTTCATGGTGTCATCGTGCTTACATGTGTGCGTGCATTTAAATGTGTGTTGGTGCGTGCTTAATGCGTCCAGCACGACACGCAATTAGATGACGATGTGCGCGTATACGGAACCACGGGACACCCGCAAGACCACCGCGGGACAACCCATGGGACAACCCGCGGGACCACCACGGGACAACCCACGGGGCAGCCCTTGGGACAACCGTGGGACTACCCACGGGACAGCCACGGGACAACCTACATGGCCATTTCGAGACAGGGTCTGGGGGCCCACCACCGTCTGGCTCAAATCACGAGGCCGACGCCGGGCTCCCCCGCCGTCGCCTCCGACAGCGCGGAACTGGTATAACTGGGTAAAACTGGTCATAGAACTGGTCATAGACCTGGCCCATTAAAAATAAGATCCGGCCTAGAACTGGTCGCATTTAGAAGAAGAGTTACTGATATTCTTTAATTTTCTTTAATTGGACCGACCAGTTCTAGGCCGGACCCTATTTTTCCTGGGCCAGTTCGATGGCCAGTTCTATGACCAGTTCTATCAGTTCTATCCAGTTCTATCCAGCAGTGCCAGCCTCCGCCCGCTCCACGTCGGCCTGCCGACCTCGCGACAGACTACGAAAACGTTATACCTTGCGAGATTTTTTGTTTTGCTCCCCCTTCCTCTCCCCCCCTAACTCCCCACCGGCGAACCCGCCGTTCGCCCCCTTCCCCCCCTGCCTGGGAGTCCGAATTACTTGTCGCAGATGGCAGCCCTGGCACGCCCCACCACGAACACCGCGAAGTACCGGCATCACCACCAACATCAACACCATCAACATCATCAACATCAACATCGTCGACATCATCAACATCACCAACACCATCGACATCGCCAACATCACGGACATCATCAACCTCAGAATCATCAACATCGACACCAGCATCAACATCTTTAACATCATCAACATCAACATCGCCGACATCATCAACATCACCAACATCATCGACATCGCCAAAATCACCGACATCATCAACATCCGCCGTCCTCCGCACCTCTCCTCCCCCCTCTGTCCGTGCTCGGGCTTTCGCGCGAGACGCACTCACATTTACGGTGCGGGCGTTGGTTAAGGAATGCGCCCAGGAGGCACCAGACCCTGGAGGATTCCTTATCCGATGAAGGCGGTGGCGATGCCCATGGCCGATCCACAATTGAAGGTCCACTGGCTTCGAGACCCTGGATTCCTTTTCCAACGATTCCTTAGCCAATGCCCTCGCCGTATTGTAGCACCAATCAAGAGCATAAGAGCCACGTCCGGGTTAGATGTGTTTGGTAGTTTCATGGTGTCATCGTGCTTACATGTGTGCGTGCATTTAAATGTGCGTGTGTGTTGGTGCGTGCTTATGCGTCCAGCACGACACGCAATTAGATGACGATGTGCGCAAGTACGGAACCACGGGACACCCGCAGGACCACCGCGGGACAACCCATGGGACAACCCGCGGGACCACCACGGGACAACCCACGGGGCAGCCCTTGGGACAACCGTGGGACTACCCGCGGGACAGCCACGGGACAACCTACATGGCCATTTCGAGACAGGGTCTGGGGGCCCACCACCGTCTGGCTCAAATCACGAGGCCGACGCCGGGCTCCCCCGCCGTCGCCTCCGACGGCGCGGAACTGGTATAACTGGGTAGAATTGGTCATAGAACTGGTCATAGAACTGGCCCATTAAAAATAAGATCCGGCCTAGAACTGGTCGCATTCAGAAGAAGAATTATTGAGATTCTCTCATTTTCTTTAATTGGACCGACCAGTTCTAGGCCAGACCCTATTTGTCATGGGCCAGTTCGATGGCCAGTTCTATCAGTTCTATCCAGTTCTATCCAGCGGTGCCAGCCTCCGCCCGCTCCACGTCGGCCTGCCGACCTCGCGACAGACTATGAAAACGTTACACCTTGCGAGATTTGTTTTGTTGCTCCCCCTTCTTCTCCCCCCCCCTAACTCCCCACCGGCGATCCCCGCCGTTCGCCCCCTTCCCCCCCCGCCTGGGAGTCCGAATTACTTGTCGCAGATGGCAGCCCTGGCACGCCCCACCACGAACACCGCGAAGTACCGGCATCACCACCAACATCAACAACATCAACATCATCAACATCAACATCGTCGACATCATCAACATCACCAACATCATCGACATCGCCAACATCACGGACATCATCAACCTCAGAATCATCAACATCGACGCCAGCATCAACATCTTTAACATCATCAACATCAACATCGCCGACATCATCAACATCACCAACATCATCGACATCGCCAAAATCACCGACATCATCAACATCCGCCGTCCTCCGCACCTCTCCTCCCCCCTCTGTCCGTGCTCGGGCTTTCGCGCGAGACGCACTCACATTTACGGTGCGGGCGTTGGTTAAGGAATGCGCCCAGGAGGCACCAGACCCTGGAGGATTCCTTATCCGATGAAGGCGGTGGCGATGCCCATGGCCGATCCACAATTGAAGGTCCACTGGCTTCGAGACCCTGGATTCCTTTTCCAACGATTCCTTAGCCAATGCCCTCGCCGTATTGTAGCACCAATCAAGAGCATAAGAGCCACGTCCGGGTTAGATGTGTTTGGTAATTTCATGGTGTCATCGTGCTTACATGTGTGCGTGCATTTAAATGTGCGTGTGTGTTGGTGCGTGCTTATGCGTCCAGCACGACACGCAATTAGATGACGATGTGCGCAAGTACGGAACCACGGGACACCCGCAGGACCACCGCGGGACAACCCATGGGACAACCCGCGGGACCACCACGGGACAACCCACGGGGCAGCCCTTGGGACAACCGTGGGAGTACCCACGGGACAGCCACGGGACAACCTACATGGCCATTTCGAGACAGGGTCTGGGGGCCCACCACCGTCTGGCTCAAATCACGAGGCCGACGCCGGGCTCCCCCGCCGTCGCCTCCGACGGCGCGGAACTGGTATAACTGGGTGGAACTGGTCATAGAACTGGTCATAGAACTGGCCCAGTAAAAATAAGATCCTGCCTAGAACTGGTCGCATTCAGAAGAAGAATTATTGATATTCTTTCATTTTCTTTAATTGGACCGACCAGTTCTAGGCCGGACCCTTGGGCCAGTTCGATGGCCACTTCTATCAGTTCTATCCAGTTCTATCCAGCGGTGCCAGCCTCCGCCCGCTCCACGTCGGCCTGCCGACCTCGCGACAGACTATGAAAACGTTACACCTTGCGAGATTTTTTGTTTTGCTCCCCCTTCTTCTCCCCCCCTACTCCCCACCGGCGATCCCCGCCGTTCGCCCCCTTCCCCCCCTGCCTGGGAGTCCGAGTTACTTGTCGCAGATGGCAGCCCTGGCACGTCCATCAGGAACACCGCGAAGTACCGGCATCACCACCAACATCAACAACATCAACATCATCAACATCAACATCGTCGACATCATCAACATCACCAACATCACCGACATCGCCAACATCCAGGACATCATCAACATCATAATCATCAACATCGACACCATCATCAACATCTTTAACATCTTTAACATCATCAACATCAACATCGCCGACATCATCAACATCACCAACATCATCGACATCGCCAATATCAGGGACATCATCAACATCCGCCGTCCTCCGCACCTCTCCTCCCCCCTCTGACAGCGGTCGGGCTTTCGCGCGAGACGCGCTCGCATTTACGGTGCGGGCGTTGGTTAAGGAATGCGCCCAGGAGGCATCAGACCCTGGAGGAATCCTTATCCGATGAGGGCGGTGGCGATGCCCATGGCCGATCCACAATTGGAGGTCCACTGGCTTCGAGACCCTGGATTCCTTTTCCAACGATTCATTTGCCTATGCCCTCGCCGTATTGTAGCACCAATCAAGAGCATAAGAACCACGGTGGGCGGACAAAAAGTGTCCACACTTGTCGCGCCAAGACAGCACGTCGTCAAATCACGTCGAACGAATATGTATACCCCCCTTTCCCC